GATAGGCTTCGCTCCTAGTTATCCAAGCTTCACACATCTCTTGCGTAGCTATCGGACATGTCAAAGGTGCAACCTCTTTCTTCGACATTGCTGAGGGCATCCTGATGTTATGCGTGGCTGAATCGCCGATACGTGGTAATGCTACAGAGCAAGAAGGTTTGTTTAGACTAAAAATCGACATCCCAAAGTCAAAGAAACTCACGTGTCCGGTATTGCTCGAGGCGTTCAATAGCCTGGCTGTACAGAGACACCTCTATCTGACACCGCTTCCTCCTCTCTTCTATGAGAATTCGTTCCACAATTGCATGACTTCCGTCATCTCCTCCAGTACAAGTACTCTGGTGTAATCGCAACGTTTCCTCTTGCTTCGTTTCTATACTGCGCTCCCCAACTAGCTCCCAAAGATCAGCAGGATAGACCCGATCTTTGAGTAGAAACGACAAGACAAATAATTCAGTCCGAAGCTGTGAGATACAGATCAGGATATAGAGGTTGAAAAGCGCGGGGTATGGACTGACCTTCTGATTTGCTATGAGCCCGATGTAGTCGTCCAACAGTTCAGTGCCTAGTGAGTTTGAGATTCGAAAGATGCTAATACGAGCAGCTGATGAATCGAATAGGGCGGGTGAAAGATGGGATGGCATGTTGAATGAGTGACGTACTGTGGGGTGGTAGTGGGATACGATTATATTCAGGTTGAGCTTGGCGGCGGGCGAGATTGTGTGATCTGATGAGGATCCGTTATCTTAAAGTCTAGAATCTTGACAAGCCGTTCCTTCTAATGCATGCTTGTGGCGATGAAGTGTCAATAACCATGATGTCACATGACACAAAATGAACTACATATGGTGGCCGGATCACAGCTACTTACTAGTTATATTTGTCCCAATGCTTCATTCAAAGTTTTTGTTTGGGACTGAGATCGATTGAATTCGAACTAAGGAATGATGCAAAACGTTGTAAATCAACGACGAGCCTCAAGGCAAGACATGACAGGAACCACAGTGTGATTGAGCAAAACGCCGGAGACAGGGAAGACGTCGCAGCATGGAGAATGCCGCCGCGGAGGCAAGTTGGCTCGGTGATGTCCGATATAGCAGTGCACGTCTAAAAACTGTCCCAGTAAACGTTGAGTCAGCCTTCCTGGTGAGTCGGAATGCATATATATTGAGAGAGAGGGATATTATTAAATCCAGCTTGACTGAATTCAACCTAGAACATGTGTGGAGAATGCAAGTTAAAAGTAATCATCCCGACCGGAACTGAGCCGCCCATATGCTGTGTAAGCAATTTGTCCTTCGGGCGTTGCCGGTCGCTCAGCGAATTATGAATGAACAACGTCCAGCGGCTCCAGCCGACAATCTACTTCACATCTTCGCGAGTCAATCTGATTCGCACACTCGCAGTACCTGTACTTATGCATGTGCCAGGGCTCTGCAGGCACTTCAAGCTTCAAGTTTCAACTTCAAAGCACACTCCTATGGTGGATCTTTGGTGACGGTTCGATTTGCCACGCCGCATACATTTTTCATAGTCCGCCGTATTTATTATGCAAATCATGTCACTTGTGTGTCACATCAGGCGACACCGCACGTTGCCGAAATGTTCATGCTCATTGTGAGCAACGGTCCAGATATATATATCGTCCACGCAGGTTCTGATTCTGGGGCTCCAATAGATTCATCCTAAACCATCCATTGTGAAGTTCTTCCATCCAGGCGCAACCAATCTGCCAAATCAATAGAACTTCAAGCATTTGCTCACAATAATGTTTTCAGGACATAAAAGCAAGCTCTGTCTACCTCAGTAGTTCAAACGTTCAGAGTCCCCTTTGCGAAGCTTTTATCACTTCGTATATATCATGCATCTCTCTTTCAAGTTCCTCGTCGTCGTTACTACTTTGGCAGCATGCATGTCTGTCACGGCCGCACAGTGCAAGTCTTACTTTGAGATCTGCGGTACGAAAGATGATTGCTGCAGTCACAACTGTGCTCTAGTTTACGTGAGTATGAGTAGCTTGCTTTGCATCCGGTATTCGACCCTGTTGCTCACCCCTTGCACCTTGCAATGTCAATAGCGCAGCGGTCAGAAAGTCTGCCAGTAAGACTGCTTACCGATGGGCTGGCAGGCCGTCCATGAGCACATCTGGACAGTGAGTCGTGTTTCTGCTTTTGCATCGGTGCTGTGGCTGATGGCAAAATAGGTAGTTCGTTGCTGACTTGGTCAATGTAGTTGTTCCTGGAGTCTGTTACTATGAGATCCATGATAAAACGTGGACTGTGACGAGAGAATTGGTGAATGAGGAACGAGAACTTCATTCTAGTTGCTGGGTCTTCGATTGAAAGACCTTCTTCACCTCTGGCCGGCCTTGCCCCTTCAGTAGTGCAGGAAGAAAAGCCGAAACTCACCATTCTAAACGTCAGTGCTGCAATGTCTGCTTGGCTCCATTGATCATCTCTCTACAGTGCAGCAGCCCACATTGCCCCTCTTGAGCAGGCGGGTCACCGCCAGCATCAAAAAAGCCTTTTACAAGGCATTTCAATTTAAGGACAGACGGGTTATTTTGTATAAGATCTCTGAATGCCGTTCCTTCTGGTATGATAAGTCTTTGGACACTTATGCGTACCTAGCTATTACCGACATGTTTGCGAGCTTTGCTTTAACATTGGCAAGAAGTTTTGATTTCATCGGTAGTTGAGCCATCGCGGAACCTAGTTACCTGAGCTTATGTGAGCGTAGATGGCCAAATATAAAGATTCAATTCAATTCAATTCTGCTACTATCAAATAAGCACACAAGGTCATATGGGAGCGCACGTTATGATGAAAGTGAAAAAAGGGGGTAAAATAAAAGAGTATTTAATTGATATCACATCCTCCCCGGTACTTTCCATCAAATGGTAGTGCTGAGGAACTCGAGGGCGGCAGTGTCTCTCTTCATCGAGTGAGTGTCGGATGGAGTACAAGTGATGGTTGACAAGAAAGAGGAACTTGGAACAACATTGGTTGATGGTCACTAATTTCATCAATGCTGTTCCTTGTCTCCGAGGAAGTATAGGGTCATCGGGGTTTGCCATGGAATAACTTGATACCGTCAAGGATCTTCGACCTGAGAATGAGAGTGAGTATCAATTTCCGAAAGATACCTCATTATCTCCGCGCAGCAGTTGCAGGTCTGGCCTATGAATGGCCCAGGCGAATTCCAGGTGCTACATATAACGGAACAACCAGTAAGCGTAGTACAATAGTTAAAACGGGAGTAAGCCCCCCGTGTATAGTAGACTCGTGACCAGTCCATCTATGAGGCAAGCCATCGATAGATGGACTGGTAAATCTGGGTTTGAATTTGGATGTCGAGCGGATTCTCACAGTAACATGATGTCTGGCCAATGAGAAAACGAGTGCTTTTCGATGAATGTAAACCAAATGATATAATTATCTTGTTATTAACACGACGCGAACTATAGTACCTGCAAATTCAATGGACCAATCTTCCATCATCCAAGCCATTCACAATGCTTCTCTTGATGTGCTGGATCATTTTGCGCGTGATTTAATCAAAGAATGACTCCCCATCGATTATATTCAGACCCTCAATAATAACGACAAAACGGATGCACTATGAGCATGCCTCATTGTCTACATTCTGACGTCAATGGACATAGTACCATGTCAATTCCAGCTCGAAGCTGAGTTACATGGGCGATGAAACGTTCGTCGAATGATGCCGCCCAGCAGCTAATGTTCTGTTGTTGAAGTCGACCACAGACAAGGACTTAACGACTCTTTGCAAGGGCTTAGCAAAAAGCTCACGTGGTTTTGTTATGCCCAAAAAGGCTTATACGTCACGTTACTGTGAGAATCCGCTCAACATCCAAATTCAAACCCAGATTTACTAGTCCATCTATCGACGGCTTGCCTCATAGACGGGCTGGTCACCAGTCTACGTGTATAGGGCTATGTCCGACATAGGGTCTACGACCCCAAAGGACAAAAATTGGATTTAAAAACAAAAAATCAGTAAGCGAAAAATGATGTGAGATATCCACCGAGTATATATCAGAGGTATCGGCGAGAATAATGCTAAATTCTTGACTTTGTCGTTGTATTGGCAGAGTCAGTGCAGGTTCAAATGACGAAGTGAAGGATGAGGTATTAAAATGAGAGACCAGCGAGTCGAGTAAGGGTTCTGTGGACACTTGATGCCTGCAGGGTCAGGCCATCAGGAAAACCCTCCCATGTAAACTTAGGTAAGGCTGTTCGGATTAGATCTTTTTTCGTGCAGCTAACACAAATTAGACATATTAGATGGGCTAGACAAAATGGCCAGACTATATTGCTGATTTTTAATTAGCTATACCTTGCTGCTATTTAGAACAATTAGATGTCCTAGTAGACAACTAGGAAGGCCTTTGCACACCTTAGGAAACACAAATAGGAAGATTTTCACACTTGAAGTACACGGAAGAAATTGATGATATCATTAAAATCGTGTATCAGGCTAATGTGGTAATGTACGACTCATACGAGCAAAAAAAACCACAAGAAAAACATAGCAAGCGGTCAGATATAAGGAGCGAGTGAGAGATATCGGGGAATCAATGACTATCCAAACTGGCCCTTCGACTCTGCACAGAAAGCCGCCACAACTAACACGTCAGAACTCAATGGTTTTGGTCGCCTTGATATTTGTCAGTGACTCAGCACAGCGAGTTTAGGAATTGTCACATGGTATCCGCACGTGGAAGGGGAGATTAAGACAGATCCAAACAAGAGTGTCTGTCATGAAATAAGATTGACAGTCAGGACCATTTGAATATAAAGAATGTAATTAAAATTTTAAAAAAATCAGTGCATACCTGTGCAAACAGTGCCCGCGTCTACTGTGTGGACAGATGAGTCCATGCTGCTGCGCCGTGAAGACGAAGAAGTGCCTGCGCTTGTCACACCAGAACCCATTCTGAAACTGTCTTCTCCATAACAGAAGGAGTGCCAGGTGTGTTAGATGCACTTTGGGGGCTCGGTGAGGGAGGAGCGCTGCGCACGAGCGTCGTGTCGAGAGCGCTTCCGAATAATATCAGATTTCATACTAATGGGACGAGCAGAGCCGTGAAGCTTATAGTAGAGGCTGCATCTGTATGTATATAAGAGATTCATATGAATATAGAAGGAACAACAAATGAGAACTTACGCATTGCAAACAGTCTTGCCTTCATCGCCCTTCCTCCACAAAGGAGTTGCCACCAGGACTCACCACCTCCACGACTCGGACCGGTGTCACAGAAGAAGAAGAATGTGGTGGCGCTGCAGCCGAGGACAGCGTGGACAATACAGAAGCCAAAGTGGATGCACCACCCGCGTCGTCCTTCTCCATGACTAGCATGCATGGACTTTGGACGCAGACATTTATGCTACCAAAGAGAAGAGAAACAATACATCCGCTCAGCAAAGTCCATATGACGTATATAGATGAAATAATACTACTCACCAATTGGCACCATCAAAGGTTGAAGTTCGGGATGGATGGTGTGAGTAGTTGTAGTAAGAGCACACTTTGTTTGCACTTTGTTGGTTTTCTGTTGAAATCAACCGTGGGAGCTTTATAAAATATTAGTCATATTGATCGTTCGATTTTCATTACACAAACAACTTCAAATTATTAAATGTTCTGCCTTCATATGGCTACCGCTGTCCTCCGCCAAAGTCCGCTTTCTCATCCCACATTACGCTGCCAACAATGCTGACACAGTTATTCAGCATCAATATTTCCGGCATTGTGCTTGCTAATGTTCTTGACGAGTGTTCATCATTTTATGTAAATACATACTTAGATCAATACAGTTTTGCAACATTGTGCTAGTTGCCAATGATTATCATTAGCTTGCACTATACTATTGGTCTTAGAGCTAGCTACTATAAAATTTCACAGCTTGTGAAAATTTGTCTAAGAACGTCTAATCTATCTAAGTCTATATGGGAGGGTTTTCCTGATGGCCAGCGCAGGTTCAAATGATGAAGCGAAGGACGAGGTATTAGGACGAGCCTAGACCGGCGAGTCGAATAAGGGTTCTGTGGACACTCGATGCCTGCAGGCAGGCTATGAATTAATGGACGCTGTTAATTGAATACGCGCCCGTAGGTTCTGCCAAAATTTGTTCCGTGCGACAACAGTTCTGCCAAATCGATGAGAATGGTGCCCATGAGCATATGCAGGATATAAAAGCTGGTCGTCGTCCTACAGTGTTCCCTCATCCTCCAAGATATCATTCGAGATCCCCTTCAGAAGATTCCATATAACCTCGCACAGAAAATGCGTTTCTCCCTCCTCGCGGTTGTTGTTGCTTTGACAGCATCTATGTCTGTCAGTGCCAAAAATAAACCATGTGCCTACAGGGGACAATTTTGCGAAGTACTCGATTGCTGCAGTGGTTTATCTTGTAACTGGACTAGAGTAAGCCGGTCGCTGTGTAACAAGGATTCAACTGTATGACTCACGTGTGCCTCTTAGGGAGGAAATCAGGTCTGCTCATAGCCTGCTTGAAATTAATCAGGCAACCCGAGCGGCACATCGCGACAGTGAGTCATGTTTCTGCTTTCGCTTTGTTATCGTGGTCGATGGTGTAATACCTAGTTCAGAGCCGATCAGTACTAAGCACAGTATAGTATGGTTGTTTTTGGAAAAATTTCGCACTGCTCGAGCAATATTATGTAACATTTGTGAATGCTATGATCTGATTGGTCGACCGCGTGCCCAGTCTTGTATCCCACATCAGATGAAGGATTGAGTTCGAGGGCCGATGCGCGAACGATACAAGAGCCACAAGGTGTGGGTCGCAAGGAGAGTCTGAGAGGAAAGGAAACAGTCCACCGGGTAAGGAGGAGTTATATGTAGGTGACCTAGTAGCATCTACAGCGCAGTGTGAATTTGTCAATGCAAACGCTTCGGAATATTAGCATGACGGACCTGCAAAAGGGCTGTCTTTTGCTTCAAGCCTGTCCTTATTACAGTCCAGCTTTTTTCATCTTCATTGATAGTCCATTCAACATCACAGAAGACCGGCGCCGTGTACCAAAACGATAAACGTTGGACTGCGAAATCTGGCAAGCTTGTTCGATAGGAGTTGCCGAGTGTTATGTGCGCAGATAAGCGTTGTCACGCATATCACGGATCGACTGGGTCATCGATGCATCAGTCTCGACCTCTTGGAACGTCTTTTCACTTAGTCGGTCTATCAAAGGTGCACAGAGGATTTCCCAGTCATCTTGCCGAAAGTAAAGAACATGCTTTCGCAAAGCGGATGACTCCGTGACGTAGAACGTCGTCTGGAAATGTTTGTGTCAATAAGATGTCTCCATCTAAGTCGAAGAAAATACGAACTCTAAGAAGCGGAAGCAGGAAGGAGTCGAAGTACCAGAAGAGAAATTCTTCAAGAAGTTCACGACGTTTGAGAGAAAACGTCACGGATGCTCTATGCTGCTTCCGGGCACCCTCACTGGGAGGCATCAACCAGTCGCATTCTGACGTGCTGAAACCTTGAAGTACGTGATGTAATGTAGACGTTTTAAATCTCCGGCATATAATGAATTCATTAAGATCTGATGAGTGTTAGCCAAATTTAAGTGTGTGAGAGATAATCACTCAGCTTTCAAGCAAGAATGCAGCGCCATCTTTCTTACCAGCGGAGATACTGCTCTCGCTGTAAACGATTTTGACAGTGCTATTGACTTATACTCGACTGCGATCGACCTCACTTCTCCAATCGATGCTGAGTCTTTGCAAATCGTAGTAGTATGGCCAAATTAGGTAAAAAGCTTTGGGAGGATGCGCTTCTCGATGCGCAAAAGGTGCAATAGTATCTATGTTTTCATAGCCCATGTTGACTTCGACGATGCATAGGTCACCGAACTCAATCCTTCATCTGATGTGGGATACAAGACTGGGCACGCGGTCGACCATTCAGATCATAGCATTCACAAACGTTACATAATATTGCTCGAGCAGTGCGAAATTTTTCCAAAACAACCATACTATACTGTGCTCAGTACTGATTGGCTCTGAACTAGGTATTACACCATCAACCATGATACAAAGCGAAAGCAGAAACATGACTCACTGTCGCGATGTGCCGCTCGGGTTGCCCGATTAATTTCAAGTAGGTTATCATCAGGCAAATGACCTGAAAATGACAAAGTATTGGAAAGCTCTATCTGATATAAAATTTGTATAAAGTTTATCATAATTGTACTCTGCATGAGAAAGCTTTAAATACCCGGACTAAGATGGATGGACATCGCCATGTGTACAAGTATGATAGTTAAGTTGCAGTCTCATTGCCAAAATGCCAGATATTGTAACACCAACCAGGAAGGTTATGTTGCCCAAAATGTCCACTGTCACCTTGTTGAGTACTAGTGACAATGCACAGTAATTCTGGTCTTAGCATGTAACCTTCGACTAATTTTATTTCTTCCACCATATCTAATCAAACACTAGTATTAGATAAATGTTTATATGGCCGGACTGTTTTGGACGAAAACTGCCTATGGCCCAAGGGTGCCGGGGCATCATAATTCAATACCTATTTGTGTCGGTGCGCCCATGTTATGCAAGCCTAGCTTCCCCTTGCACTTCTGACAAAAATTACATTGATGCAGACATTAGGTATGTGATTGTAATGTAAGCTTTCATTGGCCAGATCTAGCTAACTACACAAGGTGCCCGACAAGTGGCAGTGCATTGGCATTTTTCCGAACTATGATAACTTATGGCCAATGTATGTAAATTTAGTGAGTCATTCTGCTGTACACAATATCTAAACATGTGCTAGCACTAGAAAATGGTTTATATGGCCGGACTGTTCGGGACGACAACTGCCTACAGCACAAGGGTGCCAGGGCACCACAACCCAATACCCATCTGTATCAGCATGCTCATGTCATGCAAGTCCAGCTTCCCTTTGCACTTCCTACAAGAATCACATTGGCGCGGATGTCAGGTATGTCATTGTAATGCGATCTTGCATTGGCCAGATCTAGCTAACTGCACAAGGTGCCTGACAAGCGGTGATGTGTTGGCATATTTGTGAACTACGATAATCTATGGCCACTGTGTGTAAGGTTAGTGCGTCTTTCTGTCATATGCAACATCTAAACACATGCTAGCACCAGAAAAGTATTTATATGGCTGGACTGTTTCAGATGAACACTGCCTGTGGCCCAAGGGTGTCAGGGCGCTACAACTCAATATCCATCCGTGTTAGTGTGGCCATGTTGTGCAAGCCCAGCTTGCCTTTGTACTTCTGACAAAAACTCCATTGGCGCAGACACTATGTATGTGGTTGTAATGTGAGCCTGTGTTTGCCAGTTCTTGCTAATTATGACCGGTTTGATTGGTGCAGCCTTCAGTACAAAAGTGCGGAATGATGACATTGTGGTGCCCTTCATCATCTGGCCGCTGAAGGGTTGCCATCATAAACAAGGCTTACAAGCCAATCTGTTCTCGAAAAACTCTCCCTAAATGCCATAGCTAGATGGGCACCCCCAATTGCTACAATATTGTAACTAGCTATAATTTCACAGCGGAATTATTGCGCTGTTGTTTTGAGCTGCCTTCAAAAGTAACATAGTCAGGGTCTAGAGACTCTCAGATAGTAGGTAGCTTGAAATGCACAAAAATGGTATGTCATTAGGTTGTAATTAATATACTACATGGGGGCATGCTTGAACAAAGACTACGAAGAGACTGCTTCCAGATTTGAGGCTCGTTTCGCTGCAAGGCGTTTTTGTTGTATCTTCGACAAGGTGCTATTAGTGCTGACCGGTCGCTTGGCAGCAGACGAAGTGGGAAAGACTTGCCTGTATACATTTCAATCAGTATGAGACGTAGGGACATAGCAAAGAGAAATAACAATACTGATTCCACCAGGTCTGCAGTTCATCAACTTCCTTGCATTCTTTGGGGTCCTCCAGGAGGTCCAGGAGGCTATGGTAAAACATTTCTGAATCTGTGGTCGTGTCGGTCCTTGAGAAGACCGAGGAGGAACTTAAAGCAAATCGGACCTTTGGTCAACGTCAAAATTATCTGCGCACAAAAGTATGGCGCTTCGCACACCTGGGTTGCAATGTAAGATATGGAAGCAATAGTCACACAGTTCATGCCATGCAGGCGAGCATTTCCGGATCGTGTAGCTTTAGGCTCCTTTTCAACCGAACTTGGAGACGTAAATACGTGCTTGTAAGCCTGGTAGAATACAATACAGTGAAGGGATTTCGTGAAAAGATGCACGTCACTCACGCATACAAGCAATCGACTCCTAAGGAGACCACACCATGGATCATCCGAGTCGTAAGTATACTGGGCATACAAGAAAATGGGCCATTGGTCTCCACAGACCAATGTCTCGCCGCTCCAGAGGTTTTCCTTGGTCCTGTTAGAAATAAGTGCAAATGAGTTACTCAGGATGGCAGATACCAGCAAACTAATACATACTCTGGGTCGTTCCAGTCCATTCCAGCAGGACAGAGTAAGGATCCTGTAAGCTCGTGGTTAAATCCACGGTCAATCTTTAAATTTCTGTGTAAATGAGGCTGTATGGTGTCTCCTTTTGGGGAAATCCAATCAAGTACTGCCAACTTCAGTGTCTTCGTATCGTCACCTCTTGCGCCCGCAGCTCCCTTGCCAATCTGTAAACCATAAGCATAAGTATAGAAATTCTGGCCATGTACAGAACGAAGTACTAATTCTCCAACATGAAGAATTTCTTCCTTGGACCCATTTTTCAATCGCTCTAGGAGGCCGGGATAAGAGTCTAAAAGCTGCTCAAAGACACGATGTTCTTGCCGCTCGCTGCAAATATGCCAGTCAGTGAGAAAACAGATAGTTATATTTGATTTACTCAGCGGAGAAGTCCTCCAGTGGAGTCTCTTCCATCTGCTCCAGTCTCAAGATACCGTTAGTGAGCAGAGATGGGTAATTGCATAGTGCGAATACTGTTCGACCAAAGTGTCGTCCATGGGAGATAAGCGGGTCGGATGTTGAGCTGTCAGCGATAGGATGAGTCTATATAGCCTATGGGCAACATCAGAGACAACTTGCGCTTTTTTTCGGGGCCCCATTTGGAGGGCTGATGATCTGTGTTTACTCGGAACGTTTGAAGTGGTGTCCTCGGTGGTCATGTATAATAGAGAGGAGGAAGAAGTAACCTGGGCTTTGCGCATGCTGGAATAGAACTTTTATCGATAGTATTACGATACATGATGTAAATGGCGAACCTTATGAAAGTGTCAGCGGCATGGTGATTGGCGTATAGTGCCGGCGAGTGACTGGCACAGAGTGCCAACAGCTAGTGGCGGTCGGGACATCCGGCCCGGCATAGTCGCGTGCAAAGTCTTGCGAACTGGAGGCTAGAAGAAATCACATTATCATGAAAGATGAAAGATGAAACTTACTTACCGTTCATATCCTTGCCATAGCTCGCCATCAGAGAATACTGACAGCCGATATGTCACAATCCTTGTGTCCGACCTTCAGACTGCAAGGACAAGCTAGTGTTAACTTGAACTTGCGGTAACTATCCGACGACTCACCACGTATGTGATTTGCTAACTCGAATACCTTTCATTAGGATTGAGTTGGTGGGAAACACTAATCCTAGGGGTGAGGGTAGGGAGGTGGAGGATGATGACAATCGCCTCTCAGCAGCGGAGAACAACAAGGTTGGCCTTGTCCCAGTGAAAATCCACAGAAGAGGCGAGGTGGCACATGTAACAGGTGATGCAGAGTCTGTAGCTAAGCTCAAAGAGTGACTACAACTTGCGGAATTGGGCTGCTCAAGGCTGACCGAGCTATATCAGAAGTATAGACTTCGTTGATTAGAGGAATATTATCGGGCAAAGGTGCTAGAAGAATATGCACCTCATGAAATCGATACTTGCTCTCCTCACCAGATCACATGGGATGCTCCTTCTCCGATTCAGGGTATGTCTGATGCGCACTCCTTGTAACAAACTGACTGCCCTACTTCAGGTGATGACGGTGATGATGATGAAGTTGAGTAGGTGTACTGTGGCGCAAAGAACTTTGACGTGAGGATATTGATTCGCAGGTGAATTGTGCAGATCTTGAATTGTGGGGGATGCTAGTGTTTAGATAAAGGTTGATGTGAGGCTTACATAATTGTCACATCTACGACCTCACCTTGAAAAGGGTGTCGAGCTAGGGCGAAGGTCGTGAATCAAGGACACTGCTGTGGTAAATAACCGTTGTGTGCGAATGGGTGTGAAATTATCAGTTATACTCGTATCTATGCTATCAGAGCACTACTCAGGAAAGGCAATTTGAGCTCGAACAGTAGACTGATAGCGAGATATGCAAATAGCAGACAAACAGTAAGCCAAAGGTCGATCAATGGTCTGCAGCAACATGATCGAGCGATGGTTGGTGGGCAGGCTCGATTGCCACAAGCACCAACCACCCAGAGCCAGCCCCACTGCCTTTCTTCGACAGCTTACCACTCACACTGCTAGTCCCCTGGTAACCATTGGTGAACAAGATAATTTTTGATAGTTTGGGCCTCATGTAGGTGATGCTGCAACCGCAGTTCTTGCAAGCGAACTGGGCTTCGTCGGTCAAAGAGTGGGTGACAGAATTCCAAGGACGAGCGCAGTAGCAACGTGAACATTGATAAGGTAGTAAGTTTCCCCAAGGACGCTGGTTCTGATGAAAGAACGTGTATGTTGATAGGATCATGGAGGCCTTATCGTCGACGTGCATCACTCCCTTGTTAAATTCGACGACGTAAGGAACACGGCGACGAACAGTGTTTGTGAGGTGTACGTGAATGATGGAGGTGTGCATTCCGAGTGCACGGGATACTGTGAGGAGCTCTTCCATGGTGTCCTGAACCTCGAAGCCTTGAGTGAGGACACGTTCCACATATGCCATGGTGAATGATCCGACAAGAGATGCATGAAATCACTCCGCATTGAATACAAATGCATGCTAAATTTGATAACTTGAATTATATCAGCGCCAGAAAAGTTGCAGTGAGCGAAGTACGTACTGTTTGATACAATCTTTGAAATCATTGAATGCATCAGTTTCACGCACCATATGTCCGCAAACCAACATCCAGAGCGTGGCTCCCTTGATATAGTCTGCCATGCCGCCGGCGAGAACTAGCATGAAAAACTGCGAAGAGTGAATGTAGGCGACAATTGAAACCGACGGCTAACTTACGTCGGAAATTGTGTAGGCAACAGGATCCCCTCCCTCGCCTTTAGTCCTCGTGCTCTTGAAGCCCCCCCAGATATCACTGCGGACGGTTTCCAAGTGAGAGTGAATGAATACTTCTATATGACCAACTTGGTGCGGTTCTAGTTCAGTCACAAGCTTGGCCATCGACATAGCATGTTGCTTGGCTTTGTGGGCTGTTCCGACATCGAAAATGATTTCACGGTAATCTGCGGGGACGTATGAATGCAACGCATCTCGCATGATGCACGCAGGGGACCCCAGACAATCAATGCTGTCAAGAACAAAGTTGAGAATAAGGACTGGAATAGTGCATATCTCTGATCGACTGCTGAGCTCAATGCGACCATGTATAACGGCAGGTCTCGCCAACACGGGCTTCCCTTTGACATCCTCGAAACCCTAGTTGAAAAAATGAGATCGGTGGTGTGAGACTGGAAACCGATGAGAATGACTTACAAAATACAGTGTATTGATGTCCTTCCCAGCACGTTTGTCACGAACTTCGTGACACCCTGGGCATCTGAAGAAAATGTTGTCACTCTTAATGTCCTTCTGCGACTCTTCCGGGATGACAAGACAGCGCTCGCATAGTGAGCGTGGGCAATACGAGCACTCGTACATTATTGGAGCACCATCACGACACAGCAGACACCACTTTTGAAAATCAGTGAAGTACACAAAAGAGAGTTGGGAGCGCTTACAAGGTTCCAAATTTGGGGCTTTAGCGTGCCTTCTATTGCGCTCTGTATTGTATCCAACCCAGTGGGTAATGCCTTAGCGTTTACACTTTTGATGATCTTTTGACCACGACCAGTGACACACTTGAAGGAGCCCAGAGGTAGTTCGCCACGCTTTGCAGGCCCTCCCGTACTCTTGCCCGAGGTTTGTTTGGTATGAGCCATTATGAAGAGTGTTTCTAATGGAGAGAGATGAGCGTGATTGAAGTTCGAGCTACTAGTGTTTCTGAGTTTGCAAGCTTATATTAGGTAATCTGATTCCGCGGAATCAGAGTTGGGTAATACAACAGCGTGGGGTCTTCATTCATCTGCCTGGGTGACATTGCCCAACGCTTCTCACCATGATGCGCAGCAACACTTCAAGTTTGACCATATATATATGGTTGTGGTAACTTATTGAACACCATGACAGGGACCACGAAATTCCAAATTTTGTGCGCATAGGTCAGCCTTGAGTGTTGTGTAAATGGGTGGTAGATGGGATACGTACACTGGCAGGACGTCAAAATGTTTTGGGCAATCTAGCATGTGAGACTTGGTGGGGTAAGCGAGGCAGAGAGGGACAGATCAATTAACCCGTGAGCAATGTCAGCGAGAGGAATATGATAGTTGTGAGGCAGCGTTTGATAGTCCAGCATCAGCTTGAGGCATGTTCATGAAACGAAAGGTGCACACACATGATTATGTTTATTTTGCATGATATGTTCACCCACGCATCCCTCTCTGAACTTCTCTTATCATTGAAAATTTTATGAAGTGGTCATTATCCAGCTTCCCAAAGCTGCTCCACGAGGTACTATAGTCAGTGATCTGGATCTCGCGGCGCTCACAAATGCACATGCGATGGAGATATGCAGACTGCCTGCGAAAGTTAACGTCAAGTTCTGCACTGGCGAGACCGAAGCCCGAAAAGACAGTTATTGTCCTGTGCATAGAAATTGCTTTGCGCAACATGCGCGTTTGAAAATGGATGGCACGTTTTGGACCACAGTGAGGTCCGGGTTATTGACGAAGATGTATGTTGCTGAGACAGGTACAGACTTGTGGGTGATCCACTGGAGAGACAGTTTGGTATGAACAGGAGACATATGAATTTATGTATCGTTCCTTGGTATATTTGAGTTGGATCTAGTGTTCAGACCCAGTAGAGCACACTGGCAGTGGAGTGTAATACAGCCCCGAAGAAATGACAGGCTGCACTGCTGTAGAGATGAATGTATTTCTGGAAGGATCTGAGTCCATAAGTATGAAACTGGGATATATCATGTGCCAGACGCCAGACGTCAGGCGCCCAGCCAAGTTGCAACTGCCTGGCAGCAACGCGAAGAGGAGACTATCCCATCACAAGCACGTGTAGCTTGTCCAGCGACTCGTCCGCCAAAACATGATTCACTCTTACAAGTCATGATGTGCCAGTTCCTGGATATCCATTAGGCAGTCATTGTCAACACGACACAAATTTTCCTACTGCAGTCTTATTACAACCGCAAAGGATAAGTCTGATGCTGAAACTTGGATGCAAAGCAAACTCACAGATTTGTACGTGTGTGTGTCAGAGCAGCACTCAGAGCCTTCCTTCCAAGTCTTGCTTGCGCCACGACATATCGTAGTGAAAACAGCTGGTGGGACACTGATAGAGTATACCGTCAAAACAGCCAAGATAGTGAAAAAAGAAGACACATCAGTCGTAGGAGGTGATATGAAATCTGGTTGAAGGCTCTTGAATGACTCTGAGATGCGGGAACAAAGATGACATGCCTTGTGTCCTGAGAACCTCGATAAAATGGTCCAGAAAGGAACAAAGGGTTGGGTAATAGTAGGCATCCTTCACGAATTTCCAGCTCTGTGAATGACATACATAGATAGGTTCTGATTGTCAGCAATAAAAGTGTGAGCTCACAGGCGTGCATCAAATATATATGTTTGTTTCTGCATGCTGGACTTGCCCACCTTCAATGGTGGGGAACTGTAAATGTTTGATGTACCTCTGCGTTCGCTTTTTCGCAGATGATGGTCACGGTCTTTCCAAACTACCGTCACGGTGTTGTCATCATATTGAGTGGCAGTTAACAAGAATGTTGACTATTGGTAAGTGTTACACTGCTTTACATAGTTCCTACATACAACTGCTACTTATCAACTTAACAACCGTCGACCTATAGCAAGTCTTAAATTAAATAATATATGAAAATACGAGAATTGCAGTAATCGTGAACACATGGCATTATGGAAATTCCGAGTCAAAGTCGTCAGAGTCGTCTGTCTCATCGCCAGGGTCCCCATCATAGTAACGCAACTCGTCAGGTAGAGGTGGTGGGATAAATTGACTGGGAGACGACGTCACACCTACAGAAGCCAGTCAGTAATGCCAAGTAAAATTTCCAGTTCGTACTCACTAGTGTTGTCAGAAAAGTTGAATTCACGAGCATGTTCAATGGCCATTGCATAAAGGTCTGTTTCAGCTTGGGCATGACACATCTTCGCGTGTAAGATAAGAAACTCTGACACGATGTTGCGCTCATATAGATGGTTGTCCTTGTTGTCCTTAATAGTAAGGGTCAGTGCCATAAGTCCTATTTGACAGGCTTGTTCTGCGTAAAGCGCATGATGGAAAGTTTCCTGGACGTCGGTGGTGACCCATGTGTTCAACAAGGGTAACGAAGGGCTGATGCACTTCAGGGAGACTGAGAACAAATGAGTAGATTAGTTACAGTACTTATGTTTGAAATGTTGGGTGTCCAGTTGTTGTCGCGTGTATCAAGGAATCTAGGTAGTGAAAGAGGAGAGCTGTGCAAAACGGAGCAATTTTCCATCCAAGCTTCATCGTTTGGAAGAGGGTATGCATGTTGTCTATTTAACCAAGCTTCACATTTCTCTCGTGTAGCCTGCAGGCAGGTTAAGGATGCACATCCTATAGCACATTTCGAAGTTGCTGAGAGAGGCTTGACGTCAGGCTTAACGACTGCTTTGCAGCAATAATAATCGACTCAGACCATTGATTGATGTGCCAGGATTAAAGAAGCTCACACATCTGATGCTGCTGCAAGTGGTCGATGGCCTGGCTATACAAAGACACCTCCATCTGACCTCGTTTCTTCCTCTCCTCCATGAGCAGATGCTTCAATACTACATGTCTTCTTCAATTAAACCCACCAACCCGGATGCGCTGGTGTTGTCGCAGTATTGCCTCTTGCTTCGCTTCTATAGTGCGCTCAACAACGATTTCCCAAAGATCACTAGGATAGACCTGATCTTTGAGCAAAAATGACAAAATTCTTAATTCAATCTCGAGCTGTATGGAAATTTTTCAGAAAGTCCAAACTGACGCAATATTATAGACTGGCCTTGTCGTTTGATACGAGACCTATGTAGGCATCCAGTAATCTAATGCCCACCAAGTTTGAGATTTGAAGGAAGTTTATACGAGTAGTGGAGCAATCGAACAATTCCGACATAAAGTTGACATCACTGATCAGATGACTATTTACTTGACGCTTGATTCAAGGAGATGATATCCACAAGGTGTTACTTACTAAAATTTTGTAGCGGCGACTGATTCTGTGAGAGATCTAGATCTGGTGAGAAGCATGTTCCAGCGCATCTTGCCGCCAACTGTAAGTAACTAGGCATATTTAGGACCAGAGAACAATTTTGGCCCCAAAGATCAAACTTGTAGCGGCATCTGCGCCTGTCCGACTGGAATGGATGTATACGATTGTATCCCACGACAGCATCCTTCCATGCACGAAAAGACCTGGGGGTAAGAAGGATCTGACAATTGACAAAGAAAAAAAGTACATAATCAGGCGAAAGAAAAATGCAAATAGCAAAAAATCCAACAGAAAGAGAGAACTTCGAGGCAATAAAGTTGTGTCAGTCCTATTTGCACAAAATTTAACATGACCAACTTGGAGAGCCCAAAGAACGGCAGTATTACCTGAACGTACAAATATTCAGAGTCGGGAGATGACTAAACACAAAGCGTGTTTGAATCAAGGGGTTTGAGCCTGTTTGAGCCAGGTCGAGCGATTTGATCCGTGTCATGGTGACAGGATTGGACCAGTCATTAGGGCCTTTGACAGCTGTGCCGTGGAAGGCATAAACTCATCTGACATGAGGGCGTCCAACATATACATCTGGATGCATCAAATTCAATCGCCATGGAATCCGCGCAGTGCGCACCATTTCAATTTACCTGGCCTCTTCCTCCTTCCACCTCACGTTGAAGTTGTCAAAGTTATGCTGGTTTGTTTGAGCTATCCCATGAGTCAGAACTGTTCCAGTGGTAAAATGAATATGAAATGTGACAGACATACGATAAGGAGTCTGGAGCAGAAGAAAGAAATTGATTTGACGAAAGAGAAGGAATATGGGGACAGTCTGGACAGAACTCGATGATGAAGAAGTTCAAAAGTCAGCAGACCTAACATTTAGCCTTTGAGCCAGTCACATGACATTTTTTGGCCAAAAAAAGGTGAAAGTAATGCTGAGGGCCTGAGGCCACGGATTTGAGTGATGAGTACTGAGCTAAGTACGTCACTCCAGCTTCATCTAGCTCTAAGGTCGCTGACACGTTCTAATAGGTTGGGCTGGGCCGAGTGTTAGCTCGGGGTAGTACGCGAGCAGGTGGAGCCGCTGGGAGGGCGGGATACCTGCTCATGAAATTCGAACATGTCAAGGACTTGTTAAGCATTTATTTGATGATATATGCAATGAGAGAATCTGCTAATATGACGATACTTCGGTCAAAGAAAGGAGAGGACTACGGTGTGTGAAGTAATAAACTGATAGATGTTACGATAAGGGGAGTGGTGGGCGGGACTTGAAAATCTAAATGAGCGAGTGAGGAGGTGAGAAGTACGACGACTCGACAGTGTGGATAACTGAAAATCGAATGAAGAAGAGAATGGTTCGGCGCAGACGCTCAGCTGGACTCGTGGTGCCAGGACATTCTGGCAGGCTGCATGACACGGCACCATTATAACACCATCCCTTCAATATTTATCCTGTCTGCCATAATCCATAGATATGTGGCGTTGTGGCTCTAACTGGTAGAAAGACTCAGAAAGAGGGAAAAGAGGCCTGTTACCGAGCTAAAGTTGAGTCTGCTGTCCGACTTTCAAGTTCTTCAACTGTTGGCTTCGCATACCTTTACGTTTTTTCTTAGTTCTTTCCTAAAATTTACCAAAAAGCGACCGAATTGACCATACACAAGATCTTTCTTGACCCATCAGGCCGCCATCTCTTATCACTTCCACTCAAGGCGAGAACTAGTACTTATACCGTGACTGGAAAAGTCTAGGCAACTCAGAGACATTCAAGATACCAATTGAGAGCGTTGAATGGAATAAAGCTGCATTGTTGGTATCCACCCATTCCATGTAAGCAAGAGAATTCTTAGTCACTGGGATCAAGCTCTCTGACCTGCGGACCGCCTTCGTTTCGGCTCCTTCATGAATATATCAATTGTTTACCACCTATCGGGAAACTACGCCGAGTAAGTAATTAGTGCTTAGCGACATAGCTCTTCCCTGACTCGAATAAGAAGTTCTCGAACTATGTGGAAACCTGCAGCATACCTCTACACCGTCAACTCAGATCTACCACTCCCGAAGAACTCTGCTTGGATGACCAGTGTGTTTCATGTGTTTATGATTTCCTTCATCCCACTTGAACGTTCGTAGCTCCTGGAATTTGTCACGCTCGACTTCGACCCAAATTCCGACGGCCACATCGACTTAGCACAACTCCATCCATACCCTTCTTTCTCACCTGGCATATCTATTGGTACCTTCGACTCACGGAATCGGTGACGAACGATGTCAATAATATGCAAACCCAGTGTATGATACTGGAAGGTTGGAAACAAGGTAGGGATGGCTAATTACAAACAGGTGAATTTGCTACGACCGTGACTTGGGTGCGGTATACTAGGGGTGGTGTATTGTATGAACATACCATAGTGGATGCTTTAATGTTTTTGGTGGTTAACCGTAGACCTTTTTTGTCCGTCCTGCTTTTCATCGTAGCCTCACAGTTTTTCTAACTCCAATCTTTGGTGTACTTTACCTTGGCTTTGTACTGGTAATAAATAACATCATAATGATACACGTCACCACTGGCACGTGTGATAGATGACAGCACAATTCTGATTCAGCCTGAGTAAAGCTATACTTAGCCTATTAGGGTCTACTAGTAGCAACCAAAGCTCGTTTCTGCAGTAAATCATATGGTACGTCGTCGGGAACTATCATGATCCAGCGATGACAAGTCTTCCCGTCGCTTTTGCACCCCTCCTGAAGAACCTGAACAGACTCTGATGTGGTGTTTCATTACTGGCCTTGCTCCTACTCGCATACATCTTTTGCAGTGTTTGAGCAGTATCTGAAAGTCCCTTGCAGCAATCCCATCGCCATCAGATGAGTCAAGCTTTCACAGCAACTCTTTTTGTTCTTGGTTGGTCCACTGGAGTTTAAGAGGCGAGATTCTCTGTTCTTCTCAATTCATCAATAAAACTGGTGTTTCAACGAATCAAATTCATACCTCTTCGTGGGTACTGGAAGGCGATTGAAGGAGTTAGTTGGAAGAACCCATCTATCTTCACTAAGGTGGCGATAAGTGTGGAATTTTTTTGCCTATGAAGCACGCTGACCTTGGTATCCGCATGTATCAGAAGCACATCTTGCAATCCAGTAAGTCTTCTTTGTGGTTTCATTCCACCATGAATATACTGCTGTCTCTATGTACCCTCCTTTTCTACCGCTGTCAGCGCATAGGCAGCACGGATATTTGAAGTTGTATTCGGCACAATAATCCTCTAAGTCAGATGGTGGAATCTTCTGTCCCTCGCTATCGGCAGGCCTACGTTTGCAACAGAGTCATTGCTCAATATCCGTATGGAATTTAAGTAATATCTTACCAACACCATTCAACCATCGATTTTGACGAACTGTCGTAGTGCAGCAGGGCAAAGCGGCAAGTCATAGCCTCCGCAATCATTTTCCCCAACCTTTGAGCAGTTTCATGATAACTAGGTGGGATGGTGATGATGGAGGAAGGTGAAGATGGCAGATCCATTGAGTGCCTAAGTTTTTTTGCCCCTCTACTTTAATAGAACGGTGACTTTTAGATGATTATGATGGCTTGTCCAGCCTTTTGTGCCGTCATCGACTGGCGCCATAGTTTCTTAGTCTGTGGGAACCAAGCGGTAATGCCGTTGGCTGTCACTAGTGCCAATGCTGCCCTGTTGCATTCCTGGGCAGGAGTGGTGAGTTCCTTTGTCGGATCTTTTAAGATAGAACCAACTATAATAATACTCTTGTCCTCTGGGCCCTCTCCATCATATCCTCACATGGATATGGCACTATCTGGTCCAACTCCTTTCAGATGCGCTTGTACACGCGAGTTTACACAGGAGAGTGCATACACAAAGCATCAGCACTCGTGCATGAGAGGCAAGAAATGCGTGTTCTCCGCGTTATCCAGAGCAAAAGATCTCCTCAGCTCCGTAAAACGGACTCGAGTGGACAATAACAGTGGCAGACATTCAAGTACACAGTCCAATTGCCTGCTGCCATCTTTCAACGAGGACAATGAACCGTTACATTCAAAGTTCAATGTTGACAGGCCTCCGTCAACAATGCAACCCCCTCAGGAGTTATCCCTTGTAGATTCGTCCCACAATGTGCTCGCCTCAGCATGTGACAATATTCTCGGCACTGCGTCTATGGAAATAGATGAAGAGGGGTTATCACTAGCCCAACGGAGGAGCTGACATGTTGGCGTTCTTATGCCGGTCCGCTATAGACAGTATGATGATGTGCTTCCGCAGCCTCCTCCGAGTGTTCCCAGTCAGACTCCTCAACAACTGGAGTCCAGCACACCTGCAAATTCCACTGACACATCTACCCAAGCTCAAATATCCTTGCAGGCACCTCCTTTTTGCACAGCGAGGAATATCTTTGGGCTAGTACATCAGTTCTTCACATCGACTCCCCCATCCCATGACCCTGAAGAGGTCGTGACACTCCTAGATATTAGCTCTGTCCTGGTTGTTAGTCCAGCGGATATCCCTTCTGAGCTCCCTGACACGTCATTTCACCCATACCCCAACCGGTCATCTTTTGAGCTGGGTCACTGGTATTGGAACGGGGGTGTGCAGAAGTCTCAACAGAGCTTCAAAGAATTGATTGACATCATCGGATGTCCAGATTACGATCCTGACGATGTGTGAAATACTCCATGGGACAAGATCAACTCGCAATTAGGAGCAAGTATTGATGTCGAAGGCAGAGACAAATGGGAGGATGAGGATGCTGGCTGGCGTAAAACACAAGTGACAATCGAAGTCCCATTTTCTTGTACCACACCTCAGCCGGGCGCTTGACCCTATATTGCAGCAAACCTTTACCATCAATCTCTGGTTTCTGTGATTCAGGAGAAACTCGCAAACACTCAGGATGATGATCTTTTCATTACGAGCCTTACCAACTGCAATGGTGTGCCCCTCATCTTGAACACGAAGTAAACATTCAGGGCGAGTTATACACCTCACCAGCCTTCATAGATGCGCACCGCACACTTCAGGAGTCTCCTGGAGAGATAGGATGTGATCTACCCCGTGTGGTCATTGCCCTTATGTTTTGGTCAGACGCTACACACTTAACAACTTTTGGTAACACGAAACTGTGGCCAGTATATATGTACTTCGGAAATGAATCAAAATACTGCCGATGTAAACCATCCTGCCACCTGGGTAATCATGTGGCCTATTTTCAAAAGGTATGATGGCTATTCTGAACCAATTTCCCTCTGTATCAACATTGATATCTTGTAGCTCCAGGACGCCTTCAAAGTTTTTGCGGGTGCTTATACCCAAGGCAAGGGAGTTGGTCGCTAATGCACAACTCACTGCCATCGTGAATTGTTTCAGGCTCAATGGGGGGTTTTACTCGACCCTGAGTTTTTAGAGGCATACGAACACGGGATTGTGATTTTGTGCTGTGACGGTCTCAAACGCAGGTTTTACCCGCGAATATTCACTTATTCTGCCGACTATCCTGAGAAGTAAGTCGTCATCATTGTCTTTAACATATTGCAATTTACAAAAGCCAGGGTTCTTGTTGCAACTATTCGGCAACTGGGAGGTTGTCCCTGCCCGCGGTGTCTCGTACCGATGGGAGAACTTCAGAATCTAGGCATGACTCACGACAGGAAACAGCATACTACTCTTGCGCGCTCTGATGCCTCAAGGAGTGAGCTAGTTACTATGGCACGCAACTTCATCTACGATATGAATCATGGTGTAGACAGCACAGCTGTCGAGTCACTTCTGAAGCCTCATTCATGGGTACCAACTTCCATGAGCATGATAATCAGCTTCTTTTCTCACTTTGACCAACTCTCAATTAGAACGCGTTTTCAGACTGCCTCGGTCCACTTGGGTTCAATGTGTTTGTTGCACTTGTTGTCGATCTTCTACATGAGTTCGAACTTGGGGTATGGCATATGCTTTTGGTCCATTTGCTGAGGATTCTTTGTACTCTGAATAAAGACCTAATCCATGAGCTTGATAAGAGGTCTGTCAAATATTTCATGATTCCTCAGCGCGGGCTAATTATCAATGAACTACGACAGGTATAGACAGGTCCCCCCATTTGGACAAGCAACCATTAGGCGGTTCTCTGCAAACACTTCCGAATTGTCGAACATGGCTGCACGAAATTTCGAAGATCTTCTACAGGTGTGTCAGACAATTTCCATTGGTTGCCGGGAACTCATTTCGCACAAGTGTTCTATCCCTGTCTTCGATGGCCTTTTCCCCGGCGATCACAACAAAATGATCATGGATCTCCTGTTTACCATGGCACATTGGCACGGACTTGCAAAGTTTCGTATGCATTCCAACCTAACTCTAGAGATCCTCGACAAACTAACAACTGATCTCGGTGATCGGTTTCGTGAGTTCAAGGCAAAAGTTTGCCCTGCATACCAAACCCAAGAACTCGACCGTGAAGTTGATGCACGATCTCGTCGGCAGGCAAAGGAAGCATCCAAACAGGCAGAGAAAGGCAAATCAAATGTTATTGCGTGGGGGGCTGCAGCTTGAAAGCCTAAGGCAGGTGCCCACGCCAATGGTCAAGAAACCGCGAGTTCAAAGCAGCCCCAGGATGCACCTGTACCAAAGCAGTCGTGAAGGAAAAAGTCCTTCAATTTTCAAACTTATAAATTTCATGCGCTTGGGGATTACGTGGCCTCAATCCATCAATTTGGGACGACAGATTCTTATAGCACTGAACCAGTAAGTTGACAATGGCTCATCGCTCGTGCTTGCTCCAACCTGATTTCTGCTAGGGAGAAATTAGAACACCGAACACCAAAAAGCCGATACCATCGTACTGATCGAAAGGCCTTTGTTCGTCAGTTGACTCAGATTGAGCGTCATCAAACGTGTTTACGCCGGATCAAGCAATGGCAACAAAAGCTGCTGCAAACTCCTCGTGAACAACTGGATGAAACAGCAAACGATCCCCAACTACACCATCACATCGGCAAAAGCGAGAAGATTTACGACGAATTTGGTCACTACCTTCGCAGCCATGCGAAAGATCCCGCAATGAAGGTAATCAACTTATACCTTATTACTATTCTTCTGAGATGTTGACTAGGACTTTCTGCCTCAGTTGAAAACCCATATTCTGGACCGCCTCGAGCCTGGGGAGACATCAGCTCGACTCGACCAAGAATGTAACTCAATTCTCTTCAAGCGCAGCTGAATATATCATCACATGATCGCAAGATTTAATCATACAACGTATGATGTTCGGAGGGCCCAAGATGTTATTAATCCAAGGACGCCTCACTGTAATATCATGCTGCTCAAGCATTATGATGATTCCAATGATGATGGTCATGATGCCCACTACTGTTATGCCAGGGTCCTTGGCATACATCATGTCAACGTTGTTCGAGCGGGGAACGTGTACCAATCTCACCGGTTAAATTTTCTATTTGTTCGATGGTATGAGTCCGTGCAAAGTCACGCCTGGGAAACATGCACTTTGAGTCGTGTTCGCTTCATGCCTATTGTGAATCCTAATGCATTCGGCTTTGTTGACCCAGGAGTTGTTCTCCGGGCCTGCCACGTGATACCAGCTTTCTCTCTGGGCCAGCGCAATCCTAGCGAATCTGGAATCTCTGCTCTCACGGGTGATAGACATGATTGGTGCGAGTACTACATCAACAGGTGAGCATCCCTCCTATTTTGGTTTAAGTGTGATGATATAAATACAACTGGATTAGCTTTGTTGACAGAGACACTCTCGTGCGGTTTCATTACGGGCTTGGAGTGGGACACGTGTACTCTCATGAGGCGCGGATCGTTGAACTCCCTAATTTGGCGCAACGGGCGCCTCCCTTAATCTCTCAGACGACGACACAAGCAGAACAAGAATGTTCGGACAGGGAAGAAAGTCTCACTACCCACTGGAAAACTCCTTGTGATGAGGATGAAGATGAAGAGGATTACATTGGCATTGAGGAGCTGGATACCTTTGATCAGGAACGAAATGGAAGTACCGAATCACTCATCGAGGCACTAGACGAGATGTTTGCTACTGACCACGCGCTCGATTACGAAAATTAGTGTTACATACACGTATACCCCATCTGACGATACATGATGCATAGTCAATCTATGGCAACTGTGGTCGATTTCCAGCTAGCTCGTGGCAGGCATATTACCTCAATTTACTAATTACCATTGGTGCTGCACCCATTCCTGGTGCACAATATAGTCATTCCTGGGGCAACAATTCAGTCTTTTCTGTCGGACGATCTGGTGGATGATCTGTTGGGCAATCTGTTGGGCAATCTGACAGACAATTCATTCAGGCCGGCAGATCATGCGGCGTGTTTCTGTCTGGCTACCGCTGACTCGCGATCAATGCAAGTTAATCGGTTAGCATGTCTAGTCTATCAACTCCTTATTTATGGCCAGAGTATTGTTTGCCATTGATTGCAGCTCTTTCCCGTCTTCTTCGATGGCCATGCAAGGTAACTTAATGCTAATCTCACCTCATAGATAACTTAATGGTAGCAAGCAGCTCCCCTTTGGCTCTACTTTCCTCAGAATAATCAAGCTTTACAAGTCATCCAACTCCCTGTATGTCACGACTGTGTTGTATGTATCCTCGCTAATGTTTTTCCTCTAGACTGACAATGTGTGTTATTGTCTGCATGAAGCGTTGTGTCAGACTGACTTGTGGTTTCAGCATCCCCTGGAGGGGCTTAATGGACGTTACGTACTCCTTGGGTATCTAGCTCACAACCACTGCCAAGTTTCACCTCTTTATGTGAGTGATCATACCCACTTGTTTCATCTCATCATGTTGTTTTGTAGGGCCCGGAGTGTGAGATGGTACCGGCCATCTCCTCGGGCTTTAGCAATGTAAACCTACCCATAGTCGGAATCTTAGCTATCCCTCAGGGTTCAGGGGGCACAGATTTCCATACCGTGTATGAAAGACAGGTGAGGAATCTATGATATCGGAAATTTCATCTCTGAAAGGATAGACGTAGCGCGATGACGGTGATTTTCTTCGAGTGGTCCTAACCGACTTCTGTCGGCCGGATGCATCAGGATGCCCCAGTAAGGTGTGGCTCGTAAGTGTCGTTTTCAGTGCTGTGTATCATGTGCTGATTTCATCTCATCCTCAGCTTGATGGGTTGGGCCACACAATCCAATTCAACCAGGCTTCATTTTCCGCACAGTTTTCCTCCTCCAGCTTCGCTTGCTGCCATGGAGGTAGCACCTATCTCGCACACGTTACAGCTCTTTGGCCCTGCTATGATAGAAGAAGACCTGGCGTCGTTGATGCCATCCGTTACGCCAAGTCTTGTTGGCGACATCGAATACGACTACTCCTGCTACACTGACGATTCGCTGATGCAGTTTGAAACAAATTCCATTGACTTCGACCCCATCGCTACATTTCCCCCCGTCGCCAATCCGTCAACTGTGTTTCACCAGGACCTTATCTGGCAAGGTGAAGATACTCCACTCAGCAGCGCGTACTGCAAGGATATCACCCGTGCATTGAACCGAATGCCCTGGAAATGACCTTTATTCGTGACGAAGGGAATATACCTCGGCAGCTACTGGGTTGGGTTACAAAACCCATTCGAATTTCTTGAAAAACTCCCACAAGCCATGGAAAACAACAGACACCTACTCTCTAATTGTTTTTTGATGGCAGTAGAAATGAATCATACGACATTGCAAGAACTTCATGAGACCCCACGTGAGCGCCTTCCTCAGCTGCCATCAATCACTATCTAACAGCACGATCAGTACTGGTAGAAACTCAGACTGGTAACCAATCCATTGGATGGGATGTCCTTCGCTTGACGGTATGTGTTTCTTGTGCCTCCCTTTCACTCATAAGTATTGGGAGTAGTTTTCCAAGTACGTTGAGTCCCGGAATGTAGAAATGCACAAGGTCATCCGAGGCTGCATTCTCTCCAACACTGGATTTTCAGGCATCGAGAAAGCTGACCAAGATGCCAAGGTTATTTATTTCTTTCGACTTCTGTCCTCAGATGACCGAAATCATGTACGAATCTGGAAATCCCCCAAGTTGACTTCATGATTTACAATATTCAATATTCAGGTGCAACAAGCTATCTCAGAAATCGTACAGCTATACATGTTTAGTGAATTGGTCTGGGTATCTGTGTTTCAGTATAGCAGCAGCTTGGCTGAGGGTAACCGCCAAGGGAGAATTGCGGATCTCTTTCCCGAGGAAATCCAAGGTCAAGATGGCCTACTAGGCTCAGCGCTAGTTGTGACTTTGCTGACTGTGGTAAGGTTGTCTTCATCATTGCTGATATAAATAACAAAAGTTTCATCCTATCAGATATACCGTGCACTTCATATTTGGCTCCCAGAGAGAACTCCAGGGCACAAACTATCTGTCATCCATCAGATCATCGTGGCATCATTGGGAAAAATGTACGCCAACGAACACCTGTTCCCTCAATTCCATGAGGCGATGAGGAAGTTGCCTTTCGTCACGTCGGTGTATCGTTTATGATCGAAACATGTCCTACTCATCTACGTTTAGGGTTGCAAATGTCCTACCCATCAAGGTCAAATTATTGGAGCCCAAAATGTCCGTGAATGACAACCGGTTAAGAAACATGAACGATGTTTTACCTATTGTAACGTATGCAAGAGACCCTACTCACCCCGGCCTTCCTAATTCGGTATTCACCTCCTTACACTCGCAAAGAGCCATGCGGGAAGTCGATGGTTCATGCTTCCGAGGTGGACTTTGATAAAGAATGTAGTTCATGTGCTATCTTGAGGAGTGGCGAGATGTAGGATATCTTCATAAACGAATAGGAATAGGTACCAGTGATCATGTACGACAAGGTATTGACTTTTGTACATGGCTAAACTTCAATCTATGATACTCTGATAGTGGTCCTGGCGTTTAAGCGAGGACTGTACATGCCGGCCGAGGCATATAAAGAATGACTGCCGGGGGTACGGCCAGTATTATGAGCGGTCTCTTTCTTCTTGTTCTTTGGGGGGGGGAGACATCGCCAAACATTGACTGGAAGTGCTTGGTTTGAGCTGCGAAGATGAGCAGTTTCTTCAGCGTGAGGTCCCGAGTTCCCAGGGATTTTCTTAGAATGTTATGAGGGCAGATGAAGGCAGGGCATTCTAGGATATAATGGTAAACCGATCTCCCAGCGCCATAGTGCATGGTCTTCCACTTCTCGTCTCTAGCTCCTCCTTGATCAGCTGCACTGCTAACTTCCGAGCATTGAGGATGCTGACTACTGTGCCAAGTCAGATATGGGTGTCAGGGCAGAAGCTCCTATGAGGCCAGATGGCTTTAACCCACGATATTCTATTGGCCAAGAGAGCGATTGTGAAGCAGAATCTTCGGCGAGGCCAGATGGCCTCAAGTTGATATGAGTGGGAGTGAGGATATCCTCAGCTCGGAGGCCAAAAAGCCTTCACCGCACAAGGTCGAACACAAATTTTTGGAGCAGAAGCTCCAGTGCTAGGCCAGACGACCTTCAAGTTGTTAAACCTGCGAACGAGTCGAAGTCATAGTTTTTAAAGTCCGCTAATTGTTTATCCTTGTTTGTTGTGACATACCAAAATTCTAATTATGAATTACCGATACAGTCGCAACATTACTACTACTTTGGGCGAAATTACGGCAAGTTCGATTGTCCGCGCGCCAGTCACTGTCACTAACTAATAAAGTTCGTCAGATGACCCAAGTAATTCAATCAACGACAATTGGACCAGTTCCCACGAAAGGGAGAAAGGTTACAGTAAGTTTTCGTGATCTGCGTTGAAGTACATAGTTACAATTTAATTGCAGAGCCAAATTGAGGTGTGGTTAGATTCAGTAAGCGAATTAGGCGCGTCACTGCCGAGGGCTTACTCTGGTTGGCTGATATCTAGCAACCCAAGCAATTGAAGCAAACCGTCATGGTAGCGGTGCCTGGTCCACCACCCACCCGCCGTCTCGTGACAATCAAGAACACAGTTCTCCACGCCGTCAATAAGATGAAAGCAACACTTCGTGTGAGTGCTATGATATTTATTCGAACATTACTTTTGACAAAGATACTTCTAGAGATAAACGAATCATCACGCTCTGCATCCATCATTGTAAACTAGCTATACCACATATGACATGCGTCAACATCAATTGTACATTATAATGATACCATGGTCACAGTACTTAGAACTACATTTCACCCCCATGATTCCTAACTTCGCTGTATACTGCGTTTCACTACATACTAGCATTTAAATTGAGTCGATACTCAACCTCCCCCCCTATAGTACATACCTGATATGATTGATATGATCAGGGGTCTAATGAATCTCGTGATCTTGTGACAAGTTCTTACGTGAGCGTAGATGCGGCCAAAGATAAAATTTCAAATTCTAAATTGAATTGATAATGTGATATAAACGATCTTGGCTTGGCTGACTACTAAATATTGATGTGCTCGCTTGGGGACAACTTATGTAATCATCTCTTGTCACCGGACCTTGCCAGGCTTGTGTCATTCCCCCAGGCTGTGTTGCTGCGATGTTCGTTCTGCAGCCTACCGCATCACTCCAGTCCATCCAGACCAGCAGAATGACCCCTGCATTTGTTGGCGTGGTCTGGTATATGTTGACCGTGCAGTGATGTTCGAACTGACGTCCAGCGCTGGGGTGTTCGGGTCTGTGGCAAATATGCTGGCTGCCCTGTACCGTGCCGCATATCTCGGTCCAGAAACTCTGCCCATTCTCACTCATCCAGTGGTACATCGGATTCGACTGGGACCTTACTGCAAGGGCAGTGGCCTTGCTGACCGACAAACTTGGCAATTTAGTCTCCATTGTCAAATTGTGGATGAGTAGCGGGACAAAATTTGCAGAAGCCAGCAGCCTGCATGACAAGTTGATCTACGTGTTCTGCATCTTTCAGTTGATTTGTCCGTTCCTTCGCTCCATTCCCACCAGGCCACTTGCCTTGGATCTTCGAGTTGCTGAACTCCCTCCCTTGCTCTGCGCCTCTCTGCAACCCCATTCCTATCAACCTCAATTTCTGGGGCAATGCCAGCACTTCATTCAGGATCAGGCTTGTAATTGGGCACTGTTGGGCAGTATGGAAGTGGGCACCTGGGTTCCATGTAGGGCCAGGTCTTCGCTATGACATTGGTTGAGCAGAGGCTGTGGCAGTCAAGCTTGGCCTTTTGTCTTGTATCCCACCTAGGCCTGCTCTATGGCCCTGCCAATCGTGTATTCCTCGTCAGGTCAGACAATGCTGACATGGTCGCAGTGACAAGGAAGGGCCGTTCACGCAGTGCCCCCACCAAGCGGGTCTGAAACATGTGTATGCACCCCAGGCTTCCCTGGAGGTTCGGCCGACAATGTTGCGGATGCACTATTCTGTGGCAACGTGACCTCTTTCCTGCGCAAATTCCTCTCTGTGACCACCCGGGCCTCGTGCCTGATACCACACCCACTTCCTTGGGCTCTTAATCCCGTCGTGATGATGGCTTGCCCCCTGCTGGTCCCCCATGTCTACAGATTAAATCAATTATTCCTAGTTTACATTGCCTGATCATACTTCACTGCCCCCCTTTTTTTCTTATAGTCTTAGTTTGGATATCCATGGAACTTGATATACTTGAGCCCTCTCCTATGTGTGCAACGAGTCCGCAGTGCGGTCCTGTCCCCCCCGCAAACCACCCGGCAATCACCGAGTGACCCAACCAAAGCCCCTCCCCCCAAACTGGCAATAGTCATCAAGCCTTGCATCACTTCATCGAGTGAAACTTCACATACCTTATTTCATCAGCCAACAGATCATCAAAACAAACTCCTGCATACCTCTCTTCTGTTCAGCAGTAATTATCAGCATGCTTACACGCCTCTTCACATTATTTTGTCTGACGATCTGTTTGTTAGCTTCAGCAGACACCAAGCAACTAGTAAGCTTGGATTTTTCCTTCTATCATGTATAGAGACCTGTTCTCGTTCTCGGTCCTTTTCTCGGAATACACTCAGCCCCAAAGCGAAAAAGCTACTTGATGAGTCCCCAAAAATGCCGGCTCAAATCATGAAGCCGCCTTTCCAGCATGCATGAAAACTCGTGCAGGCATTACCAACAATCCGAGTCGTATTTCTTGTATGCTTGCTGCTTCAAGTTGTTCGCCATCCCGGTCGATGGGAAGCATTCGCTAATTATATACCTGGCCTCAGGGTCACAGCATCGTGTTCTTAATGTACTCAATGTATATAAATACCGACGTGTTACATACTGCATCGTGTGAATGACACCTGGCAAATTCAACATGGCCACGACGGTACGTTCAATTGTTCTTTTGAAACTGAGTACTCAGATTATCATGCCAGACCGAGCCAAGTCAGGGGATTGACCAATGAATGGAGCTGCTCAAGCGGGGTGTCCCTATCTGGCCCACACAACTTCGGCGGTACACCGAAATGCTGCTGCCGTGAGTGATCATTGAAGTAGTGCGAACATTGAGTGCCACTAACCTGACTCATAGGATGCAACAACGTCACAATTATAACTTGCAGGCGATGCAAATCGATCCTGCCAGGTGTGTTAGCGTTGTTCTTGACAGTATCGATCTAACCATAGTATCAACAGGCGCGGAGAGAAAGGGGACTGGAAAGAGTATATTCACCCATCGGGAGCAACATATTACTACAATGCCAAAATGGTGAGCATTGGCTAAAATTCTGATGTGTTATATACTTACTTGATGCAGAGCACATACACCGAGATGAACATAGGCACCTGTTCGGATGAACAGCTCTGGAGGCTCGAGTCTTGGATCAATGCATCAAGATCCAAGATAATTGGAAAATGATGGGTACTGGTCATTGATCTGATGTTAGCAAGAGGGGAGGAGATTTTCCCATACTATTATGTGGTCCCGGAGAGCAAAATCATTACTTGGGTTGAACCAATGGACGGTTACATTCTATTCCAGGAATGCACGGCAGCTTGGCACTGGAACCACAAAAGTACATTGCTTTTTTTCTGCTTTTTTCTTGAACTTAATTCCGCAGGACTCGAGCTTGAAGCTCAATACTGGTAAGTAATTGGAATGAATTCACTTGATTGTTTCTCACTGCGGACTAGGAAACACGTTGAATATTTCCCACTTGGGATGGAAATGCGTGTCTCAGAAGTAAGAAACTTGCGGGTGAAGTTGAATTGGTACCGTGTAGGCGAGTTTGTTTTTGGCTTTGCAATGTCCGAGCAGAATAACCAAGTAACTAACAGAAGCGCTGGCTATGGAACAATCTACTGCCACTACCATATTTTGGACTCTGGACCAAATGAAAGAGATGGCCACAGAGCTGGCCATTACCGGTACGCACTCTCATCTCGACCTGCACATTTAGATTGATGGCCAAAGGACAGAAACACTTGCAGGACCTAATGGGATATTGGAGGAGCCAGGTGTTGCAATCTGCGGTGCGTGGGCCTTCGAAAGATAGATGATCGAAAACTTATCTCGTCCCTTACAGGCAAGTTATTACATATTATCTGTGTGTTACTACTTTTTCGTACTAGACATCATCAATTAAGGAGTGACAAAGGTCACCATGAATACCTGAACCACTACGGCCAACATGAGGCCCGCTTGATTCGAACCCATTCAGTGGGCGAGAGACACAGGGATCTGGAGGATTCTCCCTTCATGATTGGCCTTGCGGTCACCATGCTTTGCATTCTGATAATGGTGCTCAAACGCTTGAGGAATATCTATGTCGATGGACTCGTAAATGGGGTAGACATAAGGGGATTCACGGATGATTTCGCTGTGCAGGCTAAATCTCAAACTACTGTGGTAAGCCCTATGTCATGGGCCCAAATGTGAATGCTTACCTCTTCTCTAACAGGCAAGTGTTATCATGGCAGTAAATGCCAGTATCCTAGCTATCCCAGGCTTAGGCTCACAACTCACAACAAAGACATTGTGCTCAATCTCCTTTCTTCTGAGCGTGTACTGCATCATCGGATGTACCATGGCACAACACTTTGGCCAAAGATTGAGATCCCTCGACTTTGCGGTTCGATTGTATTCTATTTCTTTTACCCAAGCCTGACATTATCCATTCGATAGGCATATTACCTGCAAGGAAAGATGCCAAGTCTTGTGATCCTCACAAGTATACCCAGTTTTTTATATTTGATGAGGTAACCAAATCATTGTCTCAATCACTATCGCCACCAGTGCTTATAGACATTGCAGTTTGGCATTTTCTATGCTTGGGTTTCTTGCAGGTATCTTCACGGCTGACTTTGGACTTCCCTTATCTGCAAGGCTCGGGTGCGGGCTGACCTTTGTAGTGGGGGCGGGCCTAGTTATTCCACTCATGATCGCCAGCCTTGGGCCTGGGCTGATTCGGCAATAAGTAATTTTTCTATCATTTGGATATTGCCTGTCTAGTATCTTAGCTGGATAATATGAATTCTCTGCAAAAAATATGCTGCGACCCTAAATCCGTGATATCTGTTTCTTCCGGCAATATGTTGTCAAACGCACTAGCAGGTGTCGACTTTCTTTCTGACATCCTTCAATTCAAGGCAAACTGTTTCCTCTTCTTGCTTTGGTGCCGTGCGTCCGTTCAATCTCAATCACATGGAGGTACGATGTCCTCCCTTTTCAACATCTACTTTGAAAGATCAGCCATCACGCCATCCTGCGGATGTCCACATTCGAGGAACAACGGTACCACGTAAATATCACAAGGATATGATAATTTTTGGCAAGGGATTGGCCTGGACCCATCATGACTGCAAAGAACGACTATATCACATAGATATTATGAGGGATTGATCTGAAGACATCGCAATTGTAAGCAATGACCATGACACATCAATATTACAAGGATATTGTAAATTTTGACAAGGGATTTCCCTGGACAGATCACAACTGTGAGCAATGGTCTTACTGTGTAAATATTGCAAGGGTATTGTAACTCTTGATTGCCGACTGGTTGGCATTCTAAGCAGTGATCACAAAGTCAAGTCCAGACAACGAGTGAACACTACGCCGGAGAGATGCGGAACCTTTGTCAATTGTTTATCTACCCAGTATCGTAGTTGCGATACTTACATATCCTCATCAGCATTAGAGATTTCTTGCAATTCATTGTCCCTCAATAGCCTTAAGCTGACACTTATATATGACTCTATCTTTAGATGTAATCTGCATATATTTGATACGATTTTGCCGCAAATATCTAGCCAAAACATCTCCTGCCCGATTCTGTGATGATTGGCAGACCTTATTTCCTCCCTAAGAGGCACACATGAGTCATACAGTTGAATCCTTGTTACACAGCGACCGGCTTACTGCAGTCCAGTTACAAGATAAACCTTTGCAGCAATCGAGTCCTGCGTCACAAAATGCTCCCCTGTAGGCACATGGTGGACTCTTTTTGGCACTGACAGACATAGATGCTGTCAAAGCAACAACAACTGCGAGGAGGGAGAAACACATTTTCTGTGTGAGGTTATATAGAATCTTCTGAAGGGGATTTCGAATGATATCTTTGAGGATGAGGGAACACTGTAGGACGACGACCAGCTTTTATATCCTGCATATGCTCATGGGCACCATTCTCATCGATTTGGCAGAACTGTTGTCGCACGGAACAAATTTTGGCAGAACCTACGGGCGTGTATTCAATTAACAGTGTCCATTAATTCATAGCCTGCCTGCAGGCATCGAGTGTCCACAGAACCCTTACTCGACTCGCTGGTCTCTCGTCCTAATACCTCATCCTTCGCTTCATCATTTGAACCTGCGCTGACCCTGCAGGCATCGAGTGTCCACAGAACCCTTACTCGACTCGCCGGTCTCTCGTTTTAATACCTCATCCTTCGCTTTGTCATTTGAACCTGCGCTGACTCTGCCAATACAGCGACAAAGTCAAGAATTTAGCATCATTCTCGCCGATGCCTCTGATATATACTCGGTGGATATCTCACGTCATTTTTCGCTTACTGGTTGTTCCGTTATATGTAGCACCTGGGATTCGCCTGGGCCATTCATAGGCCAGTGACCTGCAACTGCTGCACGGAGATAATGGGGTATCTTTCGGAAATTGATACTCACTCTCATTCTCAGCATGTGTTTGGTCGAAGATCCTTGACGGTATCAAGTTATTCCATGGCAAACCCCGATGACCCTATACTTTCTCGGAGACAAGGAACAGCATTGATGAAATTAGTGACCATCAACCAATGTTGTTCCAAGTTCCTCTTTCTTGTCAACCATCACTTGTACTCCATCCGACACTCACTCGATGAAGAGAGACACTGCCGCCCTCGAGTTCCTCAGCACTACCATTTGATGGAAAGTACCGGGGAGGATGTGATATCAATTAAATACTCTTTTATTTTACCCCCTTTTTTCACTTTCATCATAACGTGCGCTCCCATATGACCTTGTGTGCTTATTTGATAGTAGCAGAATTGAATTGAATTGAATCTTTATATTTGGCCATCTACGCTCACATAAGCTCAGGTAACTAGGTTCCGCGATGGCTCAACTACCGATGAAATCAAAACTTCTTGCCAATGTTAAAGCAAAGCTCGCAAACATGTCGGTAATAGCTAGGTACGCATAAGTGTCCAAAGACTTATCATACCAGAAGGAACGGCATTCAGAGATCTTATACAAAATAACCCGTCTGTCCTTAAATTGAAATGCCTTGTAAAAGGCTTTTTTGATGCTGGCGGTGACCCGCCTGCTCAAGAGGGGCAATGTGGGCTGCTGCACTGTAGAGAGATGATCAATGGAGCCAAGCAGACATTGCAGCACTGACGTTTAGAATGGTGAGTTTCGGCTTTTCTTCCTGCACTACTGAAGGGGCAAGGCCGGCCAGAGGTGAAGAAGGTCTTTCAATCGAAGACCCAGCAACTAGAATGAAGTTCTCGTTCCTCATTCACCAATTCTCTCGCGTAGTTATCGAACACTTCTGGTGGACGACGGTAAAGTATGAAGGTCGTTCTTGTACGATGGTGCGCGAGTACGAGGGTGTTGGATCTGCGGGCGTATTTGCAACACACCAGACTGAGCTCCAAGTGGTGGAGAACAAAATTCAGATCTGTCACTTCCAATGGAACATTCGCAGCGGCTCTAGTCTCCTTAAAGAGACTTGGCATGGAAGGAAGGACGGTTTCTCTTCTATTGGTATGCTAGACCGGGCAACCATAATGCCACATGATACAAAATGAAGTGGCCATTAGCCACTCAATGTCCGCAGACAACGACCGCCAGTAGTCATCTGTGTACCCCAAAATGAACATTTAATAACCACCACAAGTGACGAAACGGCCAGCAGCTCTATCTGTTGCAACGCCTGTCAAACGATATTAGATGATCGATCGTCTTGGAAGGCAGCACTGATAACGACTCAGCAGTGCTATTCGGATCATCCCTTCGGCTTGCCGATACGAATCTACACTCAGCTAATTTGGCTCCTACGAATGCCATATTTTGGCACTATGGAAAAACCACCGAAGAACTATAATTGAAGGAAGTAATGATGCTGTAAAGCGGCCAGGTAGAGTTGCGTGCGTATCATGTGTCTGCCTCAAGGCAAGACCCTGCTTCAAGACAAGAACGTGTGCATGGGTTTCTAGCGTGCCAGAGGCTTGCGAATGCGGGACTTGGTAGAACACAGTGGAGAAAGCCGCAAAAAATGGCTTGATAGTGTCCGACATAGAAAATATAGAGCAGGAGACACGTGCGGTTGCTCTTGAAGGCCCTGTGATCCACGCACGAGCGCCATCATAATGCTCTTGCGTCCATCGATTACCTCGGTTTTGGCGCGCTCGAAGAAGTGAGCGGTAAGTCGACGAGAAGTCGGCAGATGGGTCATTCTTGAATGTAGGTGTAGTGTTCGGGCACCAGACTAAAAAAAAGTTGTGGCTGCGTAGATAATAGCAAGATGCGAAACTTCTTAGACACAAAATGAAGTGGAGGGATATTACGGATAACATCTGATTAGCACAATTGAAGAAACATGGTAGTACAACCGGTCGAAACCTGGAACATACATTTGCTGTGCTTCGCCACGGGCTACCACTCAATACCATATTAGGCCCGGTGAATAGTGCATCTGTACCATCAGAAACCATCCTGACACCCATCTGTGACTCGCTCCTGGCTTTGAGGCGGATACCTTGTTTGTGAAAAGTGCTGCGCCATTCGGTCACGTTCGTGACGGGCCAACGTGCGCAAGGTCGACAATGGCGTCCAGCCGGTAAAACCCTAACTAACGCATAAATATATGAGCACAAGACGAACAGTAGTGTGGAAGGAACTGCTGTCTCCCTTCGCCTGATGCCTGCCTCAGGAGACTAGTTAAATGGTGGGCGCTGGGATGGAGGGTCAGAACACGTGGCTATTAAGAATATGGACAGTAGCTTGGCTGAATTCTAGCTGGACTCACTGTGCAGTTGTGCATTATGTGTCGACAGCGAGTTGATGTGTATGAGACAACAAGAAACTTGAATGGATACTAGAGTCATAGATGTCCTGCGATTCGCGGATATCCAGTCATTGCACCAAGATGAGTAGGCTCGAATATATGAAGTTCCAGTGCAGTATCGGCCGCTTGCCGGGTAATGGAGTTGGAAAGCTTCCCTTCAGCTTCCCACCCCGAAACCCCGCAGTAAACCCCGCCCTCATCCAGCATACTCGGTACCGTGCTCAGTGTGCTGCACCCTAACGAATTCGGTGTTGGCTCGTATCACTTCTCGACACTACATGTCCTCACCGACCTGATGCACGTTCTCCTGCGGGCTCTCCCCACAATATTTTCGTTCGCGATCAAAAAGCTGGCGAGCGCTGAGTCCTGACCGATGACTCGGCCATTGCCAGTGGATCGTTCCACTCTGACCCAGCGTATATCGCTCTCTCAGCTCTTGTCAGCGCAGCCGGCAGCCATAAATCGCCTCCTTACTGATAGGTTGAAAATGCTACTCATCCAGCGGTAACACTAGAACATTGTAGGACCATCTGGAGCTGCGCTGCGATGTCATGTGTTTGCGTGTGGACCGCATTCCACCCGAAAATTTCAGCTATAGACAAAGAGAAAGTGAGTATTTTCTGTCGTTGCCAGCTCATCATCGTTATGGTACTGATTACCCCAGAATTCACAATCACTACGATATGCGGTAATTTGATAGTGCTTGTGGCGCTGCAAAGAACAATGATGCATGTGGTGCACGATCATATCCCACATGAGAGAGCACAACTGCATACTTAGTAAAGCTCTGAAATTAGATGAAAGAATACTGTAATCTGCAGTGTTTAGAGGTCGGTTACGTGCTTCAACCGTTCCGTCAGTGGTAACTAACATGACATCGTTACCTTCACAGGATAGATGTTGAACAGCGGTCTTCGCATCTTCCTCATGCAGTGTTTCATCCTATTAATGCGGAAAATAATTTACGCTAGTTTGTTTTTTTAGCTTCTGGTGATCTGTTCAGGAATGTATTGATATCTTAACGCTGCTCGGATTTGAGTTTTTGGTAGAGTGCATATCCGATATTTTGTCCGTCCCAAGTTTCTGTTGAGCGTGCGCTTATGATCCAAAGTTTTATTCTGTTGCTTTGAGGCATCAGATATTCAACACGAAACAGCTCGGCAGCCTCGCACTATTTACATTGGTCAATACACCGATCTACGATTTCTTCCGCAATCCACTATTACACCCTTCAAACCGCTTTCATAATGCAATGTATATCATTGCGGAACACCTGGAGTCGCCAACGGAGTCGCACCAATGAGGCCGTAACTGTGACCTTTCAATCTGTTCCGATATGAAATGTTCAATGCGTCAGAAGACTGTCACGTGTGGAGATTGAACATTAATTGCTGATATGACACCGAGGCGTATTTATTGTCTAATCTCAGGGAACAGAAGTTTTCGTGCAAGAATGGTACCTTTGTGTTTCACAAAAAGGACGCCAACAGTGCTTGCCAACCCCTATGCCGCTGAACATAGTGAACTGCCCGACGCCGCTGTCCTGTTTCTGAGGACGCCGCTTCAACGACGCCTGAAGGAGCGTCATGTTGCCATGATCAAGCGAGTGGTCGTCTTTTCAAGAAACACACGTGTCTCATAAAATTTGTTTCCAGCATTGGAGGCGTTGTTGGTACGGGATTATTTCTAGGCACTGCGACGGCATTGATGGAGGGTGGTCCTGTGGGACTTCTACTCGGGTATACTTTCATGGGGACGGTGTGCTACTGCGTTTTGGTGAGCTCGTCTTTGGTGTACTTCTGTGTTCTCACTTTCCTGGTTATATAACAGATAACCGTCGGGGAAATGATTACTCTCCTTCCCATTGCAGGCGGTCACGTCAGACTTGCGGAAAGATTTGTCGATCCAGCCTTCTCTTTTGCGATGGGTTGGAATTGTTGGTACTGTTGGACGGTAAGATGCCATATTGTAGTGAACGGTTCGAAGATCCTTATGGCTTAATTTTATATCAGTTTACGATGCCTGGTGAGTATGACCATGAAGTCCTCTCAGATTCAACCCATTTTACACTTGGTGAAGCTGAGTTATCAGCCGCTGCTACTCTCGTTAAGTATTGGAATATCGAAGTTAACAGTGCGGTGTGGATCACCGTGTGTCTGGTATTTGCTGTTGGAATCAATCTTTTCAGCGTTGGTTTGTCCCTTGCTCCAATGAATGTCAATTGTACACGTTGATATAATCTTCAGGAACCTACGGAGAAATGGAATTTATTTTCGCGTGAGCAGTTTTTTTTGCCTTGATGGCTGTGTAGACTTATCGTCGATCAGGTCAATTAAAGTCGTCACGATAACAGGGCTCCTCATCCTTGGTATTGTGCTTGACCTCGGAGGTGGCCCAAGTCATGATCGTATTGGGTTCCGGTACTGGAAGAATCCCGGACCGTTTGTACAGTTCGATGGGATAGCTGGAGCTAAGGGGCAGTTTCTAGGATTTGTTCGTGTACTCATCCAGGCTGCCTTTTCTTTCATTGGAACCGAGGTTGTCACTGTATGTTCTCTCTTTGAGATTAATACGAAATATATCATCACTACGTTTTCAGATGGCAGCTGCAGAGGCGAAGAACCCTCGATACACCATGCCGCGAGCGATACGGACAGTATACATCCGAATTTTCCTATTTTATGTCGGGAGCATCTTCGTCATCGGGTTGCTTGTCCCTTCCAACGACCCTCTTTTGAATCTTAACTCTTCCAACGCCTCGTCATCCCCGTTCGTGATCGCTATCAATCAGGCTGGGATTAAATATCTGCCTTCAGTATGTCCTTCCATGTTCGTCGCGGCTCCCTTCTATAAGACCCAATCCAGATTTTGAACGCAGTCATCCTAACTTCTGCTTGGTCCGCCTCTTCAAGCGACTTATATTTATCATCGAGGGGATTATGTACGTGCACAAATGCATGAAATTTCGCATTCTCATTATTAATTCACAGATGGCCTTGCCGCTACTGGGAATGCTCCCAAGTTTTTCTTGCGCACGTCACGTTCAGGCCATCCATATGTGGCCGTCATTTTTTGCTCAATGTTTTCCCTTTTGTCATACATGGTTGTGAACACCAGCTCCGGCATCGTTTTTACCTGGTTTTCGGACATGACTGCCACCGCAGGACTCTTAACGTGGTTTTGTGTTGGGGTGACCTACGTCAGGTTCCACCGGGGATTATTGGCGCAAGGGTATGAAAGGAAACGTTTACCATATGCCTCGAGACTCCAGCCATATGCGTCGTGGTGGGTGATTGCTTCGTCGCTGGTAACTCTCCTGGTAAGTATGCAGATTATCACACTGACATTAGGTACTTGACTATGATCTTAGTTCAGCGGATGGCAAGTCTTTTTGAAAGCGAATTGGTCTCATACGACGTTCGTGACGACCTATTTGCCTATCATATTGTTTTCGGTATTGTATGCATCTGCGAAATTTGTGATGCGGGTGCCCCTGGTGAAACCGAGCGAGATGGATTTCAAGTCCGGGACAGAGAATTTAGATGTCGAGAGGTGTGTGACATCCCCCATTATTTTTCTTTGTGACTGGGGTTGACCGTTCATCTTTTTTAGATCTAAAGAACCCTCGCCGAAAAATTGGAAGGAGGCGATCTGGATGAGTTTGGTGTGTTCTTTTTCCCATCTAAGTTGTTCGCTTACCGCAAGAAACATCACAGGCGTGATGCGGTTCGTTGTTATACCAATCCAACAATGCGCAGCTAGCGCTGCTGCAATCGGGTCCATTATTTACTTGCAGAGATACTAGGACATATCTCGCTTTCCTCACATATCACCGGCCGATTTCCTACTCATGGAACATACTACTAGTACTCATAGGGCTCAATGGTCATTACCAGTGGGCAGCTCCTCACCTTCGAAAACTGCGTTCAATAAACATGAATAGGTCATTTTCATTAAATCTGGAATCACAACCTCATCGTCTTCGACGGAATTTTTAGCAGTGGTAGAGATATTAAAATCAGCTGCAGCACCGATAAATGCTTACTAGCTCGTGTCAGACACGATACTATGAGGGAACACGGCGTATCTATGGATACCTTCGATTGTGAATATTGAATGTCGGGACTACGAGTGAGCACCATCTACAATCGAGGTCATGAGCGCTCATCAGCTGCTGTGCTGCAACCAGACTGCAGGTCTTCGTTGAGATCGATCTCTTGTATACCCCTCAAGAACTTCCTGCAATACTATGATGCCACATTGCCACCAATACGCCCCTAACCTTCATCTACAGAGCTTCTTCTCCGACGTCACTGCACTGTACTTCCACCGCAGACTTTCTGATCGACCCACGCCATAAACGAGGCATCAATAATCGTGGAACGGCGCAACAATATATCAACATCACCCACCACTCGCCATCAGGGACTGAAATATTCGATTTATGCGCGCTTGAACTATTATGAGGATACGTTGGCAGAGAGCAGGTAATATCATTTCAAGGTATGGAATGATATATAAAATTAACCAGCGTGCGTGCTTCGTAAAGTAGCCATGGGGCCCGGGTGGCTATGGTAATGTGGAATAGGGTTGGACTTCGAACTGAACTAGCGAAGGGTAAGATCTTCTAGGTCGAATTACGAAGACTGATTGAAACGTCAGGAAAGCTAGTTCTATCAATGGCATCGGAGGTTTGACAGTTTTGCGTTGCATAGTCAGCAAATGACGGTCATCCACATACATGCGTTTCTTTTGAGTCTCACCATCATCTTCATGGCACACAGGCGCGCGACCCGTATGAGAACTACGGTGACACCACCAGCGCCATGTTCATGAGGAGCCGCACCGGACCATCTCGTGCACCACTGTTTCACGATCACAATATTATTGCAATCCTGGACTTTTTGATTTCAATAAGCTCGAAGGAGTGGATAACAATGAGATGTTTCGTCGAATTAGACGTTCCTGAAGTGCGA